GCTGCCTCCTGGCACGGTGGCTCCGCCCCCGCACCTGCGTCTCGCTCCCAGGGTGGCCGTGCCGACGCTGATGGCCGGCCCCTGTGCAGGAAGAGAAGCAGTTTGTTTTTAAAAAATATATTTTTATTGATTTCAGAGAGGAAGGGAGAGGGAGATAGAAACAATGATGAGAGAGAATGCACGACCCCTACTGGGGATCGAGCCTGCAACCTGGGCATGTGCCCTTGACTGGAATCGAACCCAGGTCCCTTCAGTCCGCAGGCCGACGCTCTATCCAGTGAGCCACGTTGGCCAGGGCTGCTGTTTAAAAATATATTTTCATTGATTTCAGAGAGGAAGGGAGAGGGAACGAGATAAGCATCGATGATGAGAGAGAATCATGGACCGGCTGCCTCCTGCACACCCCACACTGGGGATTGAGCCCCCATCCTGGGCATGTGCCCGGACCGGGAATTGAACCGTGGTCTCCCGGTTCTTAGGCTGATACTCAACCACTGAGCCACCCGGCCGGGCAGGAAGTACTTTGTTTAGGCTTCTGCCCTGAGGGTGTCAGGCGTGCCTTTGGAGCAGCCCAGGGAGTGAGAGCAGCCTGAGTGTCAGGGCGGGAGTCAGGGAGGCGGAAGGAGGTGTTCGCAGCCCAGGAGGGGGTCACCCTGGCCCAGCCCTGTGAGCCCGCGAGGCTGAGGTAAACTGAGGCAGGCCAGCAGCCTTAGAGCCATGGCAGCGTGCTGCCGCGGTGTGGCTGCAGCCACGTGATGGGTCCGTGAGACCACAGCCGGGGGAAGGTCGGGCAGCAGGGCCGCACTCAGTCCTGCGGAGCTGCATGGCCGCCTTGGGGAGGGAGCCTCGGGGAGGGAGCCCCCGCTCTGCCGTCTGGGACCCTGGAGGAGCCGGTGCTGTGAGGTGGGAAGGGTGGCGGGCAGCCCAGGCTCGGGCTGGGGGCAGTTTCTTTGCGCTTTAAGGCGTGTTTTCCTACCGTGGAGATTTGGATGGAGACGGGCCCATGTGACGGGGAGGGGAGATGAGCCAGGTGCCCAGGCTCGGTGGCCAGGCCTGAGGAGTCCGGACGCCGCTCCCGCTCCCGCCGAGGTTCTGTGTGCGCCAGGCTGTCCGCCCCCCACTGCTGGGCCGGCCCGCGATGCCTCGGGGCGGAGGGCGAAGAGCGATGGGCGGGGCCTGCGGGCGTGGCTGGAGGGACGTGATGGGTGACGGTGCCTGGCTCCCCTGGCCCTCCACCCCTTGGGGAGCGTGGACACCCGGACCCCGTGCCCTGAGGCCGGCGCTGGGGGGACGTGGGTTGCATTCCGCTTCCTCAGCTAACGTCCACGCCGATAAACGTGGCATAAGCGTGAGTCTCCTTAGCGACTGCATCATCATCATCATCATCATTATCATTATCATCATCGTTATCATTAAAGGTGTTTATATCCTCCTCCAGCCGCCCACCCCGTCCATTGTTGTTAAATATGGCCTCAGCTGTCGGTTAGAAGTGATGCCCCGGTTAAATACCGTTTCCCCAGGAGCTTTCTGTTGGGCGGGGTGGGCCTTTCCATCCGCTTGGGCCCCGGGTGGTTTGGGCTCCGGGGGCTTTGTCTCGGCGGGCGTTTGAGTGTCTGGGACGTGAGGAGGAGGGAGGGTGGGGGCCGTGGGGTCTCACCGTCCTGACCGTCGTGTTCGTCACCACGAGTAGGCAGCCGACGGGAAACCCACGCCCGCCTGCCGTAACCGCCCTCTTTCATCTTCTTTCCAGTCTTCAAAACGGCCGTGGTCCTCGTGTACAAAGACGGCTCCAAGCAGAAGAGGAAACTCGTAAGAGACGCCTGCTCCCCGCGGCTGTGGGCTTCTCCTGGCGGGAGGGGTTCTGCCTTTGCCAGGCGGGAGCCTCCTAGGACTTGCTGCTTTTCCCTCTTTGTTTTTGTTTAATGTTGCTAAGGACTCAGGGCAGTGCCGCCTGCCGTGGTCCGAGTCTCCCACACTGTCACCCTCCCTGTCCCCCTGTCCCTCTGTTCCTGTTGGGCCCGTCCTCTGTGCTGGGTCCCCGGTACCCGGGCTTGGCTGGCAGAGTTGTTTGTGCCCCTTGCTCTCTGCGGTGGGTCCCAGGGGGTCGGTGTCTGGAGAGGGGGTCCGGTCCAGGCTGGAGCCGGTCCTCATACGCTGCCCATCCCTCCTGCAGGTCGGATCCCACAGGCTCTCCATCTACGAGGAGTGGGACCCCTTCCGGTTTCGGCACATGATCCCCACGGAGGCGCTGCAGGTCCGCGCCCTGGCCAGTGCAGGTACATACCGTGGACGGGCGGGGCCCCAGGTGCTGTGTCCACGCCCCCGTCTCTCCACAGCCTCCGATTTCCCGCCGTTTACTCATCGCAAGCGAGTGAGGGAACCCCGTGAACGGGTGTGGTGCCTTCAGTGCGGGTCCAGGGGGTCCTGCCGCCTGTGGCCTGTGTTCGTGTCACAGGGACTCACCTGAGTAGCACTGAGCCCAGGAACACAGCCCACGGAGTAACTCACGTGCCTTTTAACCAAGAGACCCCCAAAGACTCCCAAATGACACTCACACACTCACACACACTCTCTCACAGTCTCACACTCACACACACTCACGCACTCGCACACTCACACACACACACTCACACACTCATGTGCTGGAGTCCAACCCCAGCAGGTCCAGGGGTCCCCAAAGGTGTGGACGGAGTCGGCGAAGAAGGAATGACACAGAGACAGCGTTCAGTTGATCAGCAGCCTAGCCAGGATCTCTAGCCAGGATCTCCAGCCAAGTTCTGGTCTGGATCTCCAGAGAAGTTCTGCCGTTTATTGTCTTGTAACATCCGTATTTATACCAGTTGATTTTAATCCTGTCAATTTCTATTGCAAAGGTTAGGGCGTTTCTTATCTCCATTCCAGGGAGTAAAGATTATGTAGCTTAAGCATGATTGTTCATAGTTAAAGTGATTAATTACACACACTCACACACTCACACACTCACACACTCACACACTCACACACTCACCCTTTGTGTCAGTGTGAAGGCTTTGGAGTCAGTTCTTTCTCTGCGATCCAGGCAGCAGGGAGGTGGGGTGTGGGGAGTCCTGAATACGCTCACTTAGGCAGCGCCTTCTGCACCTGCGAGGTGCTGGCAGCTCTGCCTGGGCCCCACCCAGGGCGTAATTGGAGGCAGTGGCTCTCGTGGGCACATCCTCGAAGGAGCACCTTGGGGGTCGGCAGAAGCTCTCAGGTTACCCCGATGGTGAAGAGGCTGGGGAATGGCCTCGGCAGGGGTACAGGGACCAGGATTTCTGTGTCACGCGTCCGATGGGTGGCCCTCGCCCCCTCCCTGTTTGTACCTGTTGTCACGTCCATGAGCCGTACAATTGCTCCGATCCTCAGACCACTCCTCGTCCAATAGTTGGTAAACCTCAGTGACCCCCCCAGCTGAGCTGGAGGCAGCTTCCTTCCCGGGGGCTGAACACGGGCCGCGGGAACACTCGTTCAACACCGGGTCGGGCACAGGCGTTTGGGATGGTGGTTTGCCTTAGAAGGTCCTCTGGACCCTTCCAGTTCACAGGTTTACCCTCGTGCCTTTGTACGATTTGATTGTAAAACTGATCTATGCGTGAATTTGCGGGAGCCTGTGCGCAGTAGGTCTGCAGGCAGCTGTAATAATGTTTCCGCTCTGGGCCCTCATCCTGGCGCTGCCCGACGTGTCGGCCTAGGTTGCGGATTACCGGCTGTAGGTTTCCTTGTGCCGGATGAGTGGGAGGCCTGTGGTTACAGCCAAGGGCAGGTCTGGGCCAGGGGTTCTGCCGTCATGAGGACTAAGTGCACCCAGCCGCCCTTTGGAGGACAAAGCCGTGCTTGTGATTGGACATTCCATTCTCACCCTTTTTCTCATTCCATCAAGTTTGAAACCATCAAGATAAAAGCTTTTTTCTTTTTTTTTAAGTTTTAATTGATTTCAGAGAGGGGAAGGCAGAGGGAGAGAGAGAGAAACATCCGTTGGCTGCCTCCTGCACGTCCCCGACAGGGATCGAACCCAGGACTCTGGGTTTTCCTCGGCCACTGAGCCACGCCAGCTGGGCACAGCTGTTTTTATTGAACGGAGCTATGGAGACCAGCCGCATGCCCCGCGCTGTGAGACACAGGCCAGCGGGTGTGAGCATGAGAACAGGGGGCGCCTGGGCTTTGTCTAGCTGGGGAGAGCCCGTGAGACGTCCTGCGAACGCTCTGGGTTGGGGCTGAAGACTCTGCCTGGAGAGGGTTTGGGACCTGGTGCTGAGCCACGGCTCGGGGATGACCACTCCCGGGCGCAGTGTCGGCGTTCGTCATGAATTGTTCCCCCACAGACACTATCGGGGACGCCAAGTGATGCAGCATTGCAGGCGTATACAGTAATAAACAGAGCAGGGTGGTGTTACAGGCCGAGAAATCACCTGAAGATACAGCTGCCCCACCTCGGCACACTGTGTGCCTCAAGAGGAGGCGGCACCGTGCGGGCCTGAGAAAATGGAGCCTCACGCATCCCCAGGACCCGCGGCCTGTCCCGGGCATGCGGCCTGCTCGGGAGCGGGACACCCCCCCCCCCCCC